TTTACGATCAGGCTGCTCAGGAATAGCACTTAGGGAAAGCGACCTTTCCATCCCCCTTCTGTTGGGGTCTCTTCAGCCGTCTGTAGAGAGTTGATAATCAAACCCCCTCCTTTCTTCCCACCAGAGAGAGAGGAATAATTTTGAGTAGTCCAAATTTATTTAATATAAAATGCCCAAATCCACACTGTCGGTTCACTACACATCTTAGCAATTCTTCACAATTTAGAGCCACTGTTAATAAGCAACTGTTTTCTAATTTAGCTGACAGGTAAAACTCATGACCAATCAGTTCTCAAATACATTTATACAACAAGGGTAAGACTCAGGGTTACAGCTGTGGAAAATGGAGCTTGCAGGAGACCGACAGGGGAAAGAGTCTGCCCATGCAAGAGAAAGAGGCATTAGAGTGCGTGGTGGCATGGTGAGGGGGAGAGTAGGATAGAAAGGGGGTACAGAGGACAAGGAAGAGCCAGAGAAAGGCAAAGACCCAGAGAAATCTCAAATGATATACAGGCAACAATTATAGACCATGTAATCAACCATGGCAAAGTATGACAGAGGCTGGTCGGAGAGTGCAGCCTAATCTGGGCCTAACAAATCATCATTTATATAATGCTCCCTGTTGTTAGTGTTTTTTAGGTTAGTGTGTTGAGTGATAATGTCTTTCTGAGTGTGAATTGTTGCCAGTGTTTGGTCAAGTTTATTTTGAGAGTGTTTTTGGTGGTTTGAATTACTTTTAGAGGTGAGATTAAAGGGATATTATGCGACTCTGCAGAGAGTTTGTTGATAAACTCATGAACGCGAATTGCCTTGGTAACCAGTCCTCCTCTGCTATAATATAGCAAAATCCACAGCGTCTGTTATGGCTTGTTGTTAGCCTCAATAAGAGGGCATGTTCTAGCAGTACTGTAGAAGGTGTGACAACAAGCCTGACATTATTTAAATATGTATTGAAGCAAAATACTTTTCTAAGCCTAAATCTAATAAAGATACGGAGTCTAGTTTATTTATCGGTATGGTTATCAAGAGGAACTTCAACAGTTACAATTAGTGAACAAAGATCATCAAACAAACAATATGTGTAAGCTCACAAACGAAGCATCCAAAACACAACAGAGTAAAAACCTAGAGTTATTAGAAATGGTTTGTATAAGAATACAGTGACTGTAAAGAGTTGGGAAGCACAGGAGCTTCTGTTTATCTCCAGAGCCAAAGTCAAAGCTAACTTTGGGGCTAACCTCCTTCACTTTATTCAACAGTTAGCAGCAACACATCTGAGCTCCTCTTTAGTATTGAGAAGCTGCAGTCTTTATTCACTGGCCACTGTAACTTCTGCTGTACATTTACTGCTGAACAACCCTTACTGCTGACCTTTTTCTCTCTATTAGAATAGTAATAGTAATAGTAATAGGAAATAGTTCACACGCCTATTTCTCCTCTTCGGCACACATACTGATCGCTGCGGCTAAGCTAACAAAGCTAACCAGCTGGGATCATCAATAACATGACAACAGACAGACAAGACTGTAATACTGAAGCTGTCGTTTATGTGGAACAGCAAAGCTAACGTTAGTCACCTGTCCAGCAGAAACAGAGCAACCTCAGCATCGGTTTTCATTCCTTTCTAATCGTGTAGATTTATCACAGATGTTAACACGTGTCTTCCCCTCGTCTGGTCATATAACTTGTCTCAGACCTTTCCCTCTGTGGCTGTTTCCCAGTCATCTTCACAGCTAAAATCCCGTAAAAAGTCCAGCATGTTCGAACGTACTGCTGTTTGTTTACATTCTGTTTCGTGTTGGTAAAGCAGACTGTGTGAAGCGTTTTGAAAAAGTGGCTTCAGTTTTGACCAATGCGCGTTAGAAATTGAAAAAACAACGTAACCTAGGTGATCGTCTTACTTTTTCTCTAGCACCATCAGCAGGTCAAGGTCATTATGGTCAAATGCAATTTCTTTTGTGCAATATCTTCTGGAGGGATTGGCACAAAACATACAGACATTTGTGGTTCCGACATGATGTATCTTAATGACTTTGACGACCGTTTAACTTATCCTTTAAGGTTGACATTAGTGATGTGCGATACCACTTAATTCCTATCCGATCCAATACCAAGTAATACCCAGGCTGGTATTGCCGATACCAATTCCAATGCTTTTTACATATTTTATTTCTAGTTTAATGTGACCTCCCCCCTCCCGTTTCTGCATTTATGAGAGAAATAAGGAGTAGGCTGTAGCCTTACCAATTCAAAATAATAGCTGCATAATGACAAGACATCAAACTACTGTCATATTCTTTAGTTATAATCAAAATATCCTGCTCAGAACTGGTGCTTCATAACATCACCCTATTATTGTGACAGACCTCAGGTGTTGCCAAAGTATTTCACTGTCTTTGCACACACATCACACAGCCTCATTATTACCTTCACAGCTAAAATACAGCCAGACGTGACTGTTTTTACAATCAGCCAGTGTCAGTATTCAATCACGGGAAATGTAAACGGCTACAGCGGCTCACTTCAAAGAAGCTCCGTCACAGAAGCCGCAGCGCAAGCATGACTTTGACAGGCGGAAGGAAAAGTAGTTCCTATAAACCGAGTATAATTAGACCATCCTGATGACAGTAAGATACTTCTGATAAAACACACACTCACTCCAAATGACGATCCTTTTATATGAGTATCAATCCTAGAGTAGGAAATGTTGATATCAGAAATATCCATACTTTAGGATTGATCCGCAGATCACTAGTTGACATTTGTGATTTTGAATAAAAATGTCTCAAAAGCTTTTGGATTGCCATTATGCCAATTATACCAAATACCTACCTGCCATTCCCATCAGCCTCAACTGGACTTTGTGTTTAGTGCTAATTAGAAAACGTTAAGATGCTTAATAAGATACATTCTGTTATGAATTAGCACTATATAAATAGAACTGAATTAAATAAAGTATACACCTGCTCAACATCTGAACTGTTAGTATGGCCATCGTAAGCATGTTGGCATTATTGATGTGGTTAGCATGCAAGGTAGAATTTAGCTCAAAGCACCACTGTGCCGCCACAAAGAGCTATGGGTTCATCTCAAACTGGTCTTAGCTGAGGTGGCTTTATAAGCAGCTAAGTTAAATATGCCCAAAGTCAAATAGGGCACCATATAAAAATGTTTGGCCCGGTATTGTTCACTTACAGTTTTTCTCATTTGCTTAAACACATTTCTTGAAATGATGCCTTTTTTTCTCAAAACTCTAAACACAAATCCATAACTTCTCACCCAATTCACCCAAAGAGATTTTCAGGTCAAAATGAAGCTCTCTACTCAACACCATTCAGTCTTGCTGAAAAACCAAACTTTGCCATCAGACATGACACACAAGCCCTCAGAAACACACACACTACAACACAGTCTTACACACTGGTGAGATAAATTCAAAACAATTCTACAAAAACTGGTTATAAATGATGTTGCTTGTGGTTCTCCCCTCAAAAACCTTTTTACACGATGAACACAACAAAAGAAATAACAAATGTAAACATTTGAACATTTTTTATTCCTTAGTGTACTGTACAGTACAACACACCACACAACTACTTATTCTGCCCCAGCGTCTTGTCTTTGGTCTGGGACAGTCCAGAGATTCTTGTTCTCCACCTCCTTCTTCATCTCCTCCCCCTCCCTACTCCTTCTTCCTCCTCCGCCCTACTCCTGCTCCACCTCCTCATCTTCCTCCTATCCCATCTCCTCCTCTAACTCCTACTGTTCCTCTTCCTTCACCTCATCCTCCTCTCCCTACTGCTCCTCCTCCTCCTCTTCTTCCTCTTCCTCTTCTCTGGGGTCCTCTATGTCTTCCTTCAGATTTCTCTGGATCCATTGTTCCAAAACTGAATGAACTGACTCTGGCCCTTTTATCTATTGAAGCTTCTGATTGGTGTTTTATCAATTATGTATTCCACCTGGGTAGCTGTGTGCTAATTGAGCACAACCTATTCTGACTTGAGTGAACAATATTGAATGTTAGTGTTCTCTCAATGACCACATGATTTGGGCATGAGAAATGAAGGGATTTGTGTATAGAGTTTAGGGAAATGGCTGTGCTTTTTGAAAAATGGAGTTATTTACTCCAAGCCTGTAAGCTGCTGAAAGCTTTCAGTACCTAACTGGAATAATGAACTAACTAACTGAAAGAACAACAGAGGATAATCTTAGGGTATTTACAAGTTGTTTTAAAATCCAAAAAGTGGTTATAGCCCCTAACATGCGCACCAAAATGAGCGTCAGCAAAAGTTATCTGGTTTTCAAAGAACACTGACTGAACTGTAGTGATAATTGGGCTAATTCATAATGATGATATTATTATTATTGTTGTTGTTGTTAGGGTTAGGGTAATTATTATTAATATTTTATATATTATAACACTTAAAAAAACATGTTACATGGTGTTTTACAAAGACATACATTCTGTCATTGGTCTGGGACAAGCCAGAGATTATTTTCCTCCCCCTCCTAATCTTCCTTCACCTCTTCTTCCTCTCCCTACTGCTCTTTCTCTTCCTCCTCTCCAGTGTCCCGGACATTTTCCTTCACGTCTCTCTGGATCCATTTTTATCTGTCTATTGAAGCTTCTGATTGGTGTGTTATCAATAATGACTCTTTGTCTTTCCACCTGGGTAGTTGCGTGATACTTGAGCTGTGCTCAAGCTCGTTCCCTCTCTCTCACTCCCTCATTTCCCTATCTCAACTGTCCTATCTGCAATAAAGGCCAAAAAAGCCCCAAAAAATATTTAAAAACACAGAGAAATTTAAGGTTTGATAAGATTGATAATAGGTGAGAATGATATTTCATTAGGGCGAAACAAGTAACCATACAGTGGTTTTGAAAGACCTATTTGTAAGTGGTTAATGGTTAACATCAAGTTTATAGAGCAGATATAATATGAACTACATTATAAATGCTTGTGATTGTATTTTCATTGGCATTCATTTCTGTATTACAGGAGTGGAAGCACCATCGTTGACTATACTATAAGAGCAAACTCTATAAATGTTGCGGAAATTGATGCAGTAACATCAGGGGTATTTATACAGCTGGGAAGAATATACCCTGTGATATTTGACGGTGAGTTTAACACAATTTTTGACATAATGAGACACAAAATTTTTTAATATTCACATGAACATTGCTTGTCATGTCAGGAATATCTGATGATTGTATAATAATTGTCTGACTTTTGTATTTTTAAAGGCCCACTAAAGATTCAGCCATCTTTCATAACTATTGGGGAGAGTGTGACTATGACATGTGGCCCTCCTCCAGCGAATCTCGTTACCAGCTGGACTGCAGAGTGGACACGTAACGGCAATCCAATACCCAAAGATAGTGCACACGTCCAGTCACTTGATAAAGAAGTAGCAACCTTAACTGTGACCAATTTTTTTAGCACTGACGAAGGTAAGAAATAGAGATAGTATGGTGCAGTCAAGAAATTATTTGTATTTCTGTCCAGGGAGAAATTTAAAAAATAAATAAATAAAAATTTACAATGCAAGTGCTGTTTGGGACTTTTCTCCTTGTGCTCTGACCTGAGCGAATACAGTACCCTGATTGGCTTGAGGGCAATATTTGTCTTACAGTGTAAACAGAAACCTACACTGTCTCCATTGTTTTGCCTGTCTCACCAATGCCAAAAAAATATCAGGTCATGGTAAAATTTGAGGCTGAAATGATTCATAGATCTAAAGTGGTAACTGTTAATTGTTGCATCTTTTTTTTTTTTAGCTAACTGTAACACTAACTTGAAACCACAAGTTAATTAGGATCATACAGGTTGAAATGCATAGAGGGCAGAGAAATTATTTTCCTAATGACTGAAGCCTGTCAACCTTCCATTCTGCAGAACGGGGAAAAGCCATTACAGATTTTTACAACTGTTTACACATGTTTCATGTCTTTTTTCAAAACTCTACACACAATTCCCAAAATTGCTCACACAAAATGCAAAATGCCTCATATGTCCTTCAAAATGAAACACTGCGTTCAAAATGCCAGAAACACATCCAAAAGATGGCAAACGCTTTTTTCATAATAGTAATTTATAGGATATACCATTTACACACTGTTGTTCTAAATCTAAAGCTCTTCTGTCTTTTATAGGTGTATGTGTACATTTTCATACAATATTCTAGAATGAAAGTAATTTACTAAGAGGTACTGAAAATACACTGTAAACATCAATGCAGTGTTGAAATGGAAGATATTTATTTGGCCAAACATTACTGTTGTAACAGAAGCACAGTGTTGTATCCAGCAGCATACAAAAAAAAACCCCATAAACATATAAAAGCCAAAAGTATATTTTTTTACTTTTATTGCTAACAATTAATACTTAATTTACAAAACTGTATTGCTGAAATAACCCTTAGATTTTTGCAACTTGTTCTAATTTCGGAAGGTCTGAAATATGGATACCACTGCAAAGTAACTCAACTTGGGCTTGACTCTCAGTCCAGCTTCTCTCATTGTTAACTTGTGGTTGATCACATGATCAATAAGTGTGGCCCTGATCTCATCAGTGAAGGCTCTCCTTCCTTCTCTTCTTTGCCCTCGTCCTCTTCCTCCTCCTCTTCCAACTTTTCCTCTTTGAACATGTCCTTGTGGTCATCCCCTGCTTCTCCCCTTGCTCTCTGTCCATTGTTGGCACCCATTTTTCAAAACAGATAATCTGACCTTTGACCTATGTATAGGTCTACTAGATACTAAAGCAGTGATTGATTAGTGATCAGTTAAGCAGTTAGGGTTTGCACATGTGAGCAGTGGCTATGAAAGCATGTCACTTCCTGTTAGATTTTTGTGTCTTAGCAATGGAAATGTTTTGTAGTGTTTTGAAAAAAGTGTTTTATGCAATTGAAAACTGAGAAATAGCTTATGGTTTTGGAGATTTGAGGTGAGGTTTTGCATTTTTTTGTGAGAGGTTTCATAAATCGTGTGACATGTAAAGAATTTGTGTGTAAGCAGTTGTAAAAAAAAAACTGTAATAGACACGACCCAGTATTTAGTTGTCTGTTACGTTATCATCTATTCAAATTCAGACTCCTTCTCTTGAGATTTTTTCAAACCGAAAAGCTCTCCATTTTAATTAACCAATTTAATTTCAGTTCATGGATACTTTTCAAGTCTTTTTAGTCTCAACTCCAACTCAAAGCATATAGAAAAAAACATTTGGAAGATGTAGATATTGTTGGTCCCACTATATCACAACCTGAATGCTGATTTAGGTTGATGCCCCCCTTAAAATCTGATGGGGATGTAATCCGATATATTTTTGTATTTGTTTGGCAACACTGTCTTCACATTGATTTGATGTTAATTGATGATCATCTTTAATTTCAGGAGATTATCAATGTCTGCTGACAGACAGCAGTAAAGGTTTCCTTGGAGTTTTCCGACAGAAATCCAACAGCAAAATAACTTTACAAAACACACCCTTGATCCAAGTGGAACCAATCAAAAAACAGGTCCAGTGTAATGTTGGAACGACAGTGAAACTGCAGTGTTCTGTCAACAGCCCCTATCAGGTGGACTTTCTGGACAAAATAGGTAAATCTGAATCACAAAAAGCACCAAACAGCAAATCAGCTTTTGGGAAATCTTTTACATTTTACATATACTACAGTATCTGAGATCATGTGTATACATATATAGTATTTTCAGTGAGTGAATGTTGATACTGTTTGTCCAAGGTGAGTTTTTTTTGTATGTTTAGGCCAAGTCATCACCCAAGATTTTTTGATATCCGACTGTAAAAATCTGGATATCCCTTGTCGACTGATAAACCATACGGAATATAGCAGCAGTATAACACTGGTGTTTATCCAGCAGGGTAAGTATTGATCCAGACTTTAGAGTGTATTATACAATATATTTTTTCCTGTGATAAAAAAAAAAATTCTTTCTTTCTAGAATTTACATGTCGCAATGATCCCGTGTTTGGTAGTGGAACTGATGGTTACATAGCTAATGTTACCTGTGAACCGAACTATGTGGGCTCAAAGACAGCAGTTTGTCGGAGTGGTAAATGGGAACAACCACAAGACAACTGTGTCCTGCAAGTTGTCCAGGACCTGCTCGAGCAGTCTCAGGTGACCTAGTTTAATGGTGGATTTACTGATTTTGGGCCCTTAGCACTCTGGCCTCTGTCATGTCTCTTTTTCATCCTTTCTCTGATTTAAATGGTTAGTCTAGGCCAGGGGTATTCAATTACAATTCAAAGAGGTCCAGTTAAAGAAAATTTCCCTTCTTCTTGCGTTATCACTCAGTACCATAATGTATAGTTGTATCAACATATGTTTTTAGTCAACAACGGACTGTCAAATCAAATAATATTTCATTCAGTTTTCACATCAAACTGGAGGGATAATAAATAATAACTACTCTAATAATACATTTTAAATTTAAGTAAACTAAAACAAAGTGCCTAATTTTTTGAAAAAATGAAATAAAAAGTCTTGCTTGAAGTGGTGAAGTATCGTCTTAACCAGAAGAGCTGTAATGCCTCCTCTTCTCTTTCATTCCCTCTTACAGAGCTACCACTTTCCTACTTTCTCTTGTTCAGTGAGAAACGTGACCTCTAGTTTGTCCTGCCAGCTATTTACATTCGTTGTGTGTTTCCAAAACATTTCTGGTGAATCTCACGGACTCGACTCGCAAACATCGGAATGCACAGATTTGATTGGCTGAGCAGCGTCACATGAGACAATTGAAGCACATGCGATTGGTCTGTGAGTTTCCTGGGCCGCTAAACCAGTACAGTAAATGCTAGAAAAGCTGCGTGGGTTAAAATAGAAATGCTCCAAAATAGAAAGTCTCCATAATAAATCGGCTGTAGGTCGGCGGTCCAGAGAGGACAGTGACCACTGGTCTAGGCAGTGGTAGATTATGCACTCAGATCTTAATTAACACTTACAGTAATATCACAATGTAAAATCAAAATAAAACACTGGATTAAAAATATTTACTAAGGTAAATGTAGTAACAAATTTTTTTTGTTTTTTAAGTCAATCTTAAGAGTGGAACACTTGAACACTTGGCTGGTCATATGTATTGTGTTGGTAAAATCTAATCAATCAGTCAATCATTTAATCAATCTTCATTTGTATAGCACTTTTCATAGAAAAGCCACATGAAAAGATTGAATCAAATTTGACCACAATTGTTTTTCTACAAACAAAGACTCATGCCATCATTTTAAGGATGCTATATATATGCTGTGTAATGCTGCTGCTTGTTTTCTTTGAATTCTCACAGAACTTGAATGTCATTACATTGCCAATATTTTTGGGAGAACTCAGCTCTGCCACTCTCAACTTGACTGACCAAGTGGTTAACTCTACGGGAACCATTAAGGCCATTGTTCAAATACTCAACAATGTAGCCAATGTTTCATCATCACTAAATATCCCAATAACTAATTCTTCAATGCAGGTATGTGAATTAGTCTGCTGAAGTTTGTACATGTCCTACACAATATGCACATTTCAATACAATATTACATGTACTAATATCTTCTTTCCTTTGAATTTAGGACGTCCTATTAACTGCAGGTGTCCTAACCATAAATGGCTCAAAGACATCATGGGGCTTTCTGAATGGCAACGACACCAGCAACATCACAACAACACAAAGCAACAGTGTCAGCTCAATATTTTTGCAGTCCCTTGAGAATATAACAAGTCGTCTTACCAATGACTCTTTCAATATTGACACACATTCAATTATCTTGAACAAAACTACATTTACAAACACTTTCATGGCAGACTTTAATTCCTCTGTGGAGATAGACATACCAACATCTGATGGAAGAAGTAAGTTTATCACTGTGGTAACATTTGCCTCAATGGATAACGTGCTCCCTGCAAGAGACAATGGAAATTCATCCATCTACGTCATCAACGGGAGAGTCGTACTTGTTCAGTCCAGTGGTACCGTCGATAATGTTTCGTTCACATTTGATATTATAAACAATACTCTGGGGAACGCTCAGTGTGTTTTCTGGAACTTCAGCCTCTTCAGTGGTCTCGGGGGATGGGACAATGGGGGCTGCGTGTTGGTATCCAACAACACCAACGTCACCTGCAACTGCAACCACCTGACCTCGTTCTCTATCCTTATGTCACCTAACACCATATTTGACATTGTGTTGGATTACATTACCTACATTGGAGTTGGCATATCTATGGCTTCCTTGGTCATATGCCTCATTATTGAAGCTATCGTCTGGAGAAAAATAAGAAGGAACACCACATCTTACTTGCGTCATGTTTCCATTGTTAACATCGCTGTGTCTCTCCTGATTGCTGACATCTGGTTCATTATTGGGGCCGCCATCTCAGATGCAAAGACAGTAAACCAACCAGCATGCACTGCGGCTACATTTTTTATCCATTTTTTCTACCTTGCCCTGTTCTTCTGGATGTTAGCCTCAGCTCTGCTGTTGTTCTACCGCACAGTCAGTGTCTTCGACGGGGGTTTGTCTAAAACATCTATGTTGGCTATTGGATTCTCTCTAGGCTACGGGGGCCCTCTCATCATCGCTGTCATAACTATAGCTGTAACTGCACCCCAAAAAGCGTACATCCGAGACGCTGGGGTCTGCTGGCTCAACTGGGATAAATCCAAAGCTCTACTGGCATTTGTGATCCCTGCACTGACAATAGTGGTGATAAACCTGTTAATCCTGCTTGTTGTGATTTACAAAATGTTGAGAAGAAGGGTAGGAGACTCTGCACAAGCAGCTGAGAGGCATGTTTTGGTGGTTATTGCAAGGAGTTTGGCTGTCCTCACACCATTTTTTGGATTAACTTGGGGTCTGGGAGCCGGAATCCTCGCCGACCCAAACAATAGAGCAATCAATATTTCATTTGCATTCTTCAATTCACTACAGGTACAAATACATTATTTAATAATACTGATCTATATATTATTGTATCCTTTGGTACCTTATTTTTTCTACAGATTCTGAATAGTGAGTTTGTTTTCTTGGCTGATGCTACTCTGTCTTTCTTTTAAGGGTTTCTTCATCTTGGTGTTTGGAACGCTGTTGGACAAAAAGGTGTGTATATCTCAATATTACAATTTTTAATCAATTGCTCACTTTAAAGTAGAGTTCAAATTTGTTAATTCTTTAATATCGCATTGCTAATGTGTCGTGTACCTGCTACCAAGCAGCAGACATGATGAAACTCCAGAGACAGTGAATAATGAAACAAAAAAACAGGAAATGGTTTATAGATACATTGAATATTGCAACCAAAACAAATATATATAGAGTTAGCTGGTGTTGAAAAAAGTACTGCATTTTAACACAAAAACATGCAAATTTAGATTTTTTTTAGATTTAGTTTTACAGGTACGAGTAGGAAAGAGATATTTGATTCTTAAAGTTCAGTTTGAATAAGACACAGAAAACATCCTCTGTCTAATTAAAATTAAATAGTGGAAATACAGTGTTCATGTTAGAAATGAATCTACCAGAAACGTGTGTTTGCACATATTTGATTAGCCAACACAGTGCTTCTAACTGCTCATTAAATGCATGTACTCAGGGATGCGCACATGTCATTCTGGGGGGCAGGGGCTCATGTGGGAAAAAAAGGGCACATATATTTTGAATATACTACACCAGGGAGAGGGACATTAAAATGAAATGTTTAAATATTTTTGTTTTACATGCAAAATAACCTTCAGCTTCACACAGCCAAGCAAATGAATACTGAATACATTAATATATTGATCAAATATATTATTATCGCTGCTATTATAATTACTCCTACCATCTAATGACTTGAAAAAAATTGGGGGGTGGGCACGAGGGCCTAAGAACTTGTCAAAGTCTCATCTCCCGACCTAATATTTTTTATTCAATAAATATGTCTGTTTGACAGGGAATCTGTGCACAAACAGGAATATGTATTCTGGTAGACTTATTCATTCATATAAATATTGTAGCGCCCTTCAATAACAGGCTACTTGATGATAGCTGGTTTTGCTCTTTCGCTCTTAGAACAATAACAACCATCCCCCTTAACTCTCTGACAATCACAGGTGCGAACATAATTAATTGACAGGCTCCTAAGCACATGGCACATTCACTGACATCCTGGAACAATGGAAAACACAGTGATTAAACAGTAAAACAGTAAACAGCCCTTTCTGCCTTAGTGGACTATGGTAGTCTAACTAGTGACATTCTGACTTAACAATTAACACCATCTAGTCACCCAGTCTGTTATACTACCCCCCACTTCTCAAAGTTCCTCGCTCCTGAGGGGGCAGATAAAGTCTCTCTGAGGCTGTGTTCAGCCCGAGGAAGGGGAGGTCTCATCCTAATGGGCTGTGCATTCCCTGTTTCAATGTTGTGCTAGATTAGATTTGTCCGGCCCACATCATCTTCTGACACTGATAAACTTAATCATCAACATCAACATCATACTTGTTGACTCAGTGAAACAAACTTGTTTGAGTTTTAAAGCAGTGTGTTAAATTTTTGTGAATTAACATTTCAGGTGCGGTCAGAATTAACAATAGGGTCACAAGCTTCCGGAGGTGGAACAAGGGTAAGGACAGTTTTGTAAATGAATACATTTTTCTGCTTGCAGATTTAAACCTTGTAGTGATTAATGTTTTTTCTTTCTTGTTATAGAGCACCAGTGCTGGAAACTCATCAAGTTTTTTTAGCTTTTTCCGGAACTGGAGGAGAGGAAGAGGTATAACAACAATTAAGAAAAGAAAGAGAAAGCTAGCGGCTAATGTTAGTTATGTTGTATGTTATGTTGGTCCAGTACTTTGGTCTAGATTGAAATATCTCAACCACTACAGGACAAATTGCCATAACATTTTGTACAGATGTTTCCTAGAGGATGAATAATAATGACTTCAGTGATTCCCTGACTTTTCATATATGCCACACAGGTCTAGTTTTCACTTATCAAGTAAAATATCTCACCATTTACTAGTTGAAAATGCAGCATCAGCAAGTGAACCATGAACATGTGTTATTTCAGGTTTGTGAATACACAGCTGTGAGTCAGAGCAGCAGTGAATTGGTAAAATTACTTGCCTAATTTTTATTGGCTGTGGTTAGATAGATAGATAAGCAGATGATACCTAAGGTCCGAAGCTTGTTTCACCCTTGTGAAGGACGCTGGTTTAATATACTGCGTCAAATTAAGAATAACCTGTGACAGATGACCAAACAGAACCAAACAGAGTCCTGACCTTCCAGGGGTCCTAAGCAGAATTATGCTATGGGCTCTCCTACCTGACTCATGAGCCAAGTAAACAATTTGCCATTGCTGCACAGTCTCACCTGACACCACAGTGCTCTTACCACAATCCAACATCCTTTAACAGTCTGTCTTACAGTCTATAATAAGTCTGAATGGTAACCTCTTCTAGAAAAATCCAGTGCTGGTTTGAATGGACCCCTGCACCCTAACTCAGTCCTCATAAGTCTGTTATTACTGGGCGGCAATGTGCTGGGTCATTTGGTGGAGCAGTAACTGTTCCATTGGCATCTGAGCTGCTGGCTTCAATCTTGCTGAAAAAACAAACTTTGCCCTCAGACACGACACGCAAGCCTTCAAAAACACATACACACAACAACACAGTCTTACACACTGGTGAGATAAATTCAAAACAATACTACAAAAACTGGTAAATAATGTTACTTGTGATTCTCCCCCTCAAAAACCATTTCATGTGACGAACACAACAAAAGAAACAACAAGTGAAAACTTTTACACATTTTTTATTCCTTAGTGTACTGTACAGTACAACACACCAAACAACACATTTTTTTGCCCCAGCGTCCTGTCTTGGTCTGGGACAGGGAATGTGTTTTCTTTTTGCACTTTGAAATGAAATAAGAAGAGAAGAGAGTAATAGAGAAATATGCCTGAAATATTTCATCTGAAACCAAGAAAATAATGTAATAAAAGTAAAAGGCTAATGTAATTAATTAAATCACTCTCCAAACATATCACATTGTGACAATGAAGTTTACAAAGGCGAGCCCACCGTGGCACTTGGACTAAACTACACAAAAAGGTACATTAATGATCGTGTCAGCAAAATCTAGGCTTTTGAACCATAACAAAAGTATACAGGTTTAATAATAACTCACAGGATTGTTGGACTTTTATTTCACACATATGAGACTAAAACTAATCAGTGAGGTGTGGTGGTGCTTCAGCCTCAGTGTTGGAGGGCTGCTATAAGTTTTACGAGCCACCAGATGTCACTGTGTTCACTGACTAAATGGCTCTTCTCTAATATTCAGTCCAGAGTATTAAACACCACATTCACTTGTTGGGGGTCCTTGATGTGCTATTAGAGCAGCCCATATTATTATGGCATGGATTCAAATGTGGCAGAATTGTCAACTAAAGATTCATTACGTGAACTTCAACATAGTATAACAAAATAGTCTTTGTCTAATTCTTCAGTTAAATGTCTGCCATATTAGTGACACAGCTAGTCATACAGCTGTGCCGTATGACTAGTACTAATTAGCAAATCTTGCATGCACACTTAACTGAGATCATGACTGTGCTTAATATTAACAGTTAATGCTATGATATATAACAACCCAGAGGCAAAATGGCTGCAAAGCCGCAATCACAGGCAGTTATGTTAATGTTAACATTATTACAAATAATTTAAAAGAAATTTTGTTTGTGTCTGATCTAATAATGAGAGCTTGTCCTATCCTTTCCATTCTCCTGACACTGTGTGAATGTAGCATAAACATCAGCGTATTAACATGATCATTGTGAGCATGTTACCATGCTGACTTACCGTTTAGCTCAAAGCACCACTCTGCCAATGCACAGTCTCACAGAGGCACTAGCATAGACTCTTAGTCTTGTTTTAGCATCATTTGACACTTGTTTTGTTTCTGTTTTTCAGATGGTTACAACATGTCATCTAGTGCATCTGGTGCAACTCACTCCTACTCCAACCCCTGATGATCTCTGCAGACACAATGACAACCAACCAATCAAACCAACAGTTTCTTTTTTTCTTTTCTCCACCACAGCTATAACAAGTTAAATGTATCATGGTTAGATATTAAGTATAATGTAACATGGAAGAAGAATCAGGCTTGTTCTTTTGAAAAACTAAGCCTTAAGCCATATTTTAAATGTTTTATTTTGCTCACAACAACACTATGTAATACACACCATCAAAAAGATTTATTAGTATTACATGATGTATGCTGGGTGTATAGTTTTAACTGTACTGTAGTAGTAACTGCTTTTAACAATTCTCAATAGATCACTGCTGTTTTTGACAAAAACATTTATATGTAATTCCTACCAAGAGCACATAGAGAAGATATAGAAGAGATTTTATATCTGATGTACTGTAAAAGTTCATATAGTTGCACTTGGCTACATTTGTATTTGTATTTGTATTCATCAAGTATTCATCACAACCAACAACATGTCTACAATGTAGATGCAAAATGTCTCTAGATTTGGCTTACTTTGCCAATCAAATCAGTTAGACAATGTAAGTTGCCTTACACAGATCAGTGAACTTGTTTACTCGGGGTGGCGTCACAATGACGAATTGACTTAGACAGGACTATCAGTCAAATATAATTCCAAAGCCACTTTCTACTCTTACCCTCGCTGATCTACACATGCTGTATGTAAAGTGCTTACTACGGCACACGACCCTGAAGAGCCCTCAACCCAGTTAAACATCAGCAGCTGCTTCTGGAAGCATTGTTTTTGCATATCCATAATGCCAACACTACATAAGTTATAATTATGTAAAAATATATTTTAGAAACATGTTACTGTCATATGAGAAAATTTGTGTGTGTGTGTGTGTGTGTGTGTGTGTGTGTGTGTGTGTGTGTGTGTGTGTAAAACAAATGCACTTGATAATCTGTATGTATTATGTGCTGGAGTCCTGTATAGCAATAAAACTAAACAGAAGTCAGGTCACAGGTGAACTGCTTTTAAATGCTGCAGTGTGTGATAGTGTGTTAAAGTGATTACTAAATGGTACTAAATTTTTCATACTGCTCAGCATGCAGGCTATATTAAAGCTCCATCATATTCTTAACATGCTTTCTGTTTAATCCAGGTATCCATAGATTCTGAATGTTCTCAAAGGTCTTGAGTTTGATTTTTTAATATTAGGTTCATAAAATGTGCTTTAAAAGTATTAGTTTCAATTTTGAAAGGTCTTAAATGTGAGATGATGTCTACACTCATGAGAAATCACATCGACCCACAGGATTTAACATTACTTATAAATATAAAATCATTTGTTCTTTGGATTTAATAAGTTTATTTTAATATGTTTAAAAACACAACTTAAATTCATAGAGAGGGAGCGCCTGTGTAGATACACAAGAGTATGAGAGGGAGCGCTGTGTATAGATGATGAAAAATCCTTACCTGTCCCGTTTGATTTTGAAAAGTGTGCAGATACCCTGTTAATATGTCTATAATCAGTTAATCAGTTCTATAGATTGTGCTTGTGATTAATTAAACACTTTCAAAAACCAATCTAACCTTGCATGTCAGCTCCTGCTTTACACATCCTGTTACCTGCACTATCCTAAAAGAGGTTTGTCTGTCTTTAATAGTTGCACTCTGTCTTTAAATCTTAGAAAGAGATGCAGCTCTTCAGTTTACTACATGATCAGTAGTGTGGTTGAAATGAATGAATAGTAAATAATAGAAGTAAATAACTGAGGGTGTATTGGCATTTTAATTGACATCAAGTAACAGTGGTTAGAATGAAGTAGTATCACATGCAGATTGCTAGTTTAAACACAGCACAACTTAACACTTATTTAGATACTAGTGCTTATTTTTTACTGTAGTCACTCTTCCATTAGTTACTACTAACAATTAAAATGTAACTATCAACAAACCAGTTTACCAGTCAATAATGAATGACTAGTAACAAAAAATCTTTACTAGTGTAATGGGGATGCCTTTAGGGGCCTTGGGAGCTAGGGAAGATTAATTTGGGACACCAGTAAGTAGCGCTCTCTCTCTCTTTCTACTGTTGTTCACCGGAACAAGGAAGTGCAGCGGGGTAGAGATAGGGTTGCCACCTTATATTAGGCCTAATTGATTTGTCACATACGTGGCCTCTTGTCCCGTTTATTTACTACTATGCTGACCTAACCACTGACTGTTACAACAGCAACAGCAGCAGTGCTGATCACTACACTTGACAATGGTCACCGACATCTGTAATCATCCACAGCCACTATGGTGAGGTTGACCAGTCACTGTCCATCAAAATCAGTGAATCAGAACTGTAACCAAAGATATGTGAAGTCTTGAAATAATAACTACTGTTCTTTAAATATAAACAAAAAAGCACAAAAAAAAAAGATATCTTCTGTGTCTGATGGAGTGTGCTTACTTGACTTTTATGGAGATAGTGATAATAGTGATGAAAAGCAAAATGCAAATGGTATTCATCAAGCTCTGATGAACTGCCTGAAAAAACTTAAACTGGAAATAAAACACATCACAAGTGTTTTGTCTTATTTCCTACTAAAGGCATACGGAACAGCATACAGAAGCTATATTATATTTCAATCACAGCGCAGTATATGACTGGCTCTAACTGAGGTCCAACACTTTTATGGCTGCGCTCCATTGACTCTAATGCAAAAGGAGTCATTTTCTAGCTTTCTTCTGCCGTATCTTTTCAAGATATGGTCAAAAGCTGTTCCTGGGGCACTTGTAATAGTTACAGTTGCTACCCAGAGAGGTTGAAAGGAGAAGTATGATTTATTCTCTTTCCAAAACCTAAATCCAGAAAAACGTAGGCTGTGGGTAGTTCCTAATGTGATGTTGAACCGTGATGAGATGATGAGAGAACCGTGCTTTCTCTTTGTGTATAATAATATAATAATAATAATATAATAATCTTTATTTGTAGAGCACTTTTCAAAAACCAAGTTACAAAGTGCTTTAACAGGTGTAAAGACAATAATACCCAAGAGATAATAATACAAAAACAATACAAGATAAAGAATGAAAACAATGAAAAGACTAAAATACACGTTTAAGATAAATATAAATTAGTAAAATACAATAAAATAAAGTCAAATAAGATCGGGAAAAGCTCTCCTATAAAGAAGGGACTTAAAAGAGTACACTGACTCAGCTGACCTGATTTCCTCGGGCAGGCTGTTCCAGAGCCTCGGGGCCCTGACAGCAAACGCTCTGTCCCCTTTAGTTTTCAGTCGAGACTCTGGAACAGACAGCAGACCTCTGCCCGAGGATCTCAAGGTACGTGCTGGTGTGTATGGGACTAAAAGGTCAGAATATAACAAGGCGAGAGGCCATGAAGAGCTTTAAAAGTAATCAATAGAATTTTAAAGTCAATTCTAAAACATACTGGGAGCCAGTGTAATGAAGCTAAAATAGGAGTAATGTGGTCATATTTCTTTGTTCTGGTTAAAAGCCTGGCAGCTGAGTTCTGGACAGTCTGGAGTCGATCAATAGATTTTTGGGTTAAACAAGTGAAAAGGCTGTTGCAATAATCGAGGCGTGATGAGATGAAGGCGTGTAAAATGGTCTCGGTGTCCTTAAAAGTTAACATAGATTTAATTTTTGCTATATTTCTAAGTTGATAAAAACATGATTGAACAAGCTTTGTGGTGTGCTGCTCAAAATTTAAATAACTATCAAACCAAACACCAAGGTTCTTTGCCACAGGCTTAATGTGATTTACTAGGGAACCAGCATCTGCCATCTGCTGGGACCCAATGACCAGGATTTCTGTTTTGTCTGAGTTCAGTTGGAAGAAATTATTTGACATCCATTTTTTAACTTCACAAAGGCAGTTGTTAAGTGAACTCTGACGGGCAAGTATATTTGTGTGTCATCAGCATAAATATGAAAAGAATGCCATGTTTATGGATAATAAGTCCAAGGGGAAGCAGATACAAGGAAAACAACAGGTCCTAAGACCGACCCCTGAGGCACACCATATTTAACTGGACAGAACGAAGAGACATAGTTGTTTACAGACACGCAAAACTTCCTATTTGACAGGTAGGATGAAAACCATTCTACGGCAGTACCAGAGATCCCCACCCAGTGCTTCAGTCTGTCTAACATGATGTTGTGATCAATGGTGTCAAAAGCAGCGCTAAGGTCCAGGAGTACCAGGACTGAGCACATGCCTCATCAGCAGACATTAAAAGGTCATTGGTGACTTTAAGCAGGTCTCAGTGCTGTGGTACTTCCTGAAACCAGATTGAAACTTTTAAATATTTTGTTATTTTCCAGTACAGTGAGCAGCTGTTTGGACACAATTTATTTCTAGAATCTTTGCAATAAAAGGCAGTTTTGAAATTGGTCTAAAATTTGTGGGAGGGAGGGATCTAAACCAGGTTTCTTTAAAAGTGTGTTCACGCAAGCCGTTTTAAAATAATCAGGGACACAACCAGTAGATAGGGAGCTGTTGAAAACAGAGATCAAATGGGGCCCAGCAGAATCTATTAGGTATTACATCAAGTGGGCTGGAGGACACTCTCATTTGTGATACTGTTTTTAAAAGCTCAGACAAGTCGATGGGATAAAACTGGTTAAAACTCTCTTGTTGCTGGTGAGGAACCTCTCAGTAAGAGGCCGTGGGGGTAATAGAGGCTCTGTTTGACACCACCTTATTGGTAAAATAAGATAAAAACAATTCATAGTCATCATTAGCTTCCAGCTGAGGACAAGGAGGGGTTGGTTTACCAGCTGATCCACAGTCTTAAACAGAAACCTGGGGCTTGGGAGGTGGCATGAGTAACAGGCGAA